ATGTGCCTATTCAAACACTTTATGAGCAGTTGATGTTATAAGTTTATCAGTATTACCTTGTTTACCAGCAGAATTGAAACTAATGTTGCAAATGGTTGTTCCCCTAAATTGAGTAAGGAATCTTCTTGTTGTTAATGATGATTCAGGTAGGGATTTTTTGGAACAGAGCAATTATCAAAACAGACTATTTGTAAAAAAACTTTGCATCATCAGTTAAAATAGGAACACTTTAGCTAACAGAAAATTGATGTATATGGTATGATGTGACAGAGAAATCGGAAAGATGTTGCATATTTATACAGAAAACAAATTAAATAACACAAGTGGAGGAAGAAAACCCATTCCCTAATGCCTGAGTTTCAAACTTTAAATGAAATTGGAAATGAACATACATTTGTTTATCAATATTTTGCCAGTTTGGTCACAATAGAAAAATGAAAAGTAAGTTTTAAACCTTTTACAATTTGCCTCAAAAAGTTTTGGGGGCATTTGTTATACAAGGGATGGAAATGACTTGGTGGTGGGTAAGAAGAGACCAATTTCTCCTTTAATACAAATATAGATTTGTATGGTCAAGCCATACTTTTTAATGTTATACTTGGCCATTTTGTCTCATTGTTTGTAAGAGTTCAGCATTGTGCACACACATGTTTGAATTGTTTTGCATTTTTACTTAGCAAGGTTTATCTGTTTATTTTCAGCAGGGGTCAAAGGTTGTTTTTATTAAAATGTAGTTGTCTATAGTTTGGTAGTTTCCAATACACAGTGTGAAACATACTTTATATAATTAAGAATCTTAATTCTGTCTAATTATAAAATTCGAAGGAAAAGTGTGGGTTCAGTTTGATGATGTGTATGGTTCAATTGGAAGTAAAGATGGGGAAAGGCAACTATTGTGAACAAGTGTTATCGAGTCTTCCTTCAGATTTGTTGGATGACACTTCATGAGTATATATATTATGTAAAACTGAAGTGATGGCTGGAATACTTTAGCCTGGAGATGTGAAGAAAAAGGACTGTCATGACTTTATAAATGAATATTCATGGGCAAGATTTCTCAGTAAAATATATTTATCCTTTTATAAACCTTTCGGAAGGTTTCGGTATACATTTTTATAAAATGTAATAAATGTTACATTGTATTAATAAAACCTCTGAACTTGGTCTGTTCGGGTGTTAAACAATTTCCATTGAAATAACTAAACCTGATTAAGGAATACAGTAAAGCACAAAGTTGTAAAATTTTTAATAGAGATTCTTATTGTGTTCTATCATTTGCCATCAGTGTATGTGAAGGCTTCATCCTTCAAAACTGTCATGGTTGTAAAAGTGACGTGGTGTTATACTGTCAGGGTAATAAGCTTATTTGGAAAGACCACACGTGTTTTACCATCTAACATATACATAACAATCATAATGGAAAGCAAAGAAGAACCAAAAATAACATACGTAAACTGGTTTCAGAGCCAACTGCACAAGGTTACATTAAAACAGTTGCGAAGTCTCAAATAATTAAGAAACCCCACTAGAAAAACAAAAGCAAGAAAATTCTCAGAATAATTTTCATGCAAGGTATGAAGTTGGATGTTCAATTAAATATTTCTACATGAAGATACAATAATCTGCCTTATTTTAATATAATTTTGTCTGACGAATTGTTTAAAAATTTATTACTATATTGGAGTTACATGTAGTCCTTCACTTTTGAAAAATGTAGAACTATAATCAGCACTTGCCAAACAGTCCACAGAGGCTGTTTATGGGTTGATGCTGTATCTGAATTCTTTGTTTACAAAATTGGATAATAAAAGTTAATTTGCATTCACTGTTTTTCCACAAACGAAATAGTTTTGCTGAATAAACTGAGACGTGTTCATAGTGTGCTACAGAACTATGATGATTTCTGATCAGTATGGCATCCCTTGTGGCCTTGAAAGCAAAAAATAGTTTATCAGATACAATTTAGGTCACTGCCAAATTTGCTAAAATTCTTGTTGCTAGTCTGAATTTACTAATATTAATATCTAAACTTGTAATTTAAATTTTAAAACATTGACTTAGTTTCTCAATTACAATTGTTTGATATGTGTGTGTCTAACATCGCTAGTCTAGGCCAATTAAAATTAAAGTATCGAGGCTACAGCAGCCAACAGCGTGATATGAAGTTATCTCGGAGCTTATCTTTTTATAAAACAGCTTATTGCATGGTCACTGCCATGACAGATAGTAACAGGATCTGAATTCAGAATTGTTTATTTCTTCATAAGAATAAAAGGACCAGTAATGGGCCCAAAACAGCAAGCAACATGACTGACTTAATGGGGTTCTAACAGGCTGTTGCAAAACTAATTTTATGGGCACCTTTGAGCATCAGTGTGATGGTATCCACCAAATGTGGAGGACTGCATATGATGGATTTATAGCAAGCCATGACAACATTCTGTTTAGGAGACTTGTTTATCAAGTCTACACTTTTAAGAATGCTAGATTCAATGAAAAATCTATCATCATGCTGCATTATTACTACATAAGAAGAAGGATGAAAAGTCATATAATTTTCTTTTTTCAAGTTTTAACTGATTGGTGGCCACAGCTGAAGAAAATGGGTATTCCACTTGTCACAGATAACGTTAGAGGTGCCTAAATCAAAGTTGTTTCAGGGTTGAACTAGAGCTGGGCAATCTTAACTCATATAATCAATTACTTCTGAACATTGATTAGCGTCACATTCAATAATCAAAATTAGTGTTTCTGATTTACTATTTTTGTTTATTCCAACTATTCAAGTCTTATGAAATGTGCTAGTTTAATGTAATTGATTAATGAATCTGGTGATTAACCAATTACCAAATTTCATTAACTGCCCAGTTGTAGTTGGAACCACATCCTTCAAGACAAAATTTTGGCTTTTTAAATATAGAGCCACAAGTGATGATTGAAAAATGTATGCAAATTACGTGGACCATCTTTTGGATCTATAAAGTAAAAATATGTACGAATCAGTATTCATTTAAAGTTAATTGAGCCTTGCTTTCCAAATTATTTTAATGTGCATGATGTGCTTTGTTAAAAAGGCAAACAGCTCAGTCTTGTTTGCATCAAGCTGCAGAAACTGTTGCCACTGCCCTGGAAGGCTGATGGAATCATCAACTCTTCTTCTGATGTCTTTGCCACGCTTGCCTCTGGCTTGAGATTTCAGATTATTCTCATGGTACTAGTATCAGACTATATCCACTTGACTGGCATGATGCATCTGAATTTCAGTGTATGGTAAGAATATATTCAGTGCATACTCCTCAAAAGTTTTAACACCGATAGGTTTGAGAATGTTGACCAACATGGCTCCATCTAATATGGTTACATCAGTGTTTGGGACATCTTGTTTAATCTGCGCATGGCTCTCTAGACAGCCGTGAAGGTCAGATTGGGATCCCAGTCTTAGTTGACCAAACAGGGACAACAATGGAGGATATGGTTGATTTTTATGGCAAAAAAAAAAGTCATCCAGGTTACTGTCTCGTGACTGACATGCAATATAATGTGTCGAGAACAAAGAACAGTCAATCTTGAGGAAAGCCACTTGCAGGCTGGTCTTCAACTTTTCTTTTGGTGGAAGTTAAATTTAATTATATAATGCCATTTTATATGTTGCTAAATCAGCACTTTTTTCACCAAAGTTTTAAATATATATTGTTTGTTGTTTTTATCATAAATAAAAGACGATATATCTGTGTATAACAACATTTAAGTTCATTTAGCTGTAATATAATACCAATTTATCAGCATCATCAACATTTTTTGCATCCATTTTTTTATAATGGATTCCAAAGATAACATAGGCCTTTTTTGTGATGGCTGCATTTCTAAAAATCTCTGGGCTGTGGTCTATAACTATACCAAATATCAGCGATGTACATATCAACCCACAATTGTTTGACTATGTTGCATATCTGCAAGACTATTACCCCACCCTAATTAGCGCTCTGCTGTTTGTTAGTGTACTTCAGTGGGTCAAAACCTAAAACCACAAGATAAAAATTATTGGTTATCATTCATTTCTATACACTCACACGTACAGCTAATATTAAATTTATAATTCATATGTTCAGTTTATCCTTCTCTTAAATTTTTCTTAAGCTATACAAGTTTTAAAACAAACTTTCTCCTTAACCGAGGCTGTAGATAGGGATTAGTAAAAGTAATAATGTAAAGCAATTGTAATTCCATTTCTATAATGTAGAATAAATTATGTGTGAAATAAAGAAGTTGTAAAGTAAATTATGTGTGAAATAAAGAAGTTGTAAAGTAAATTATGTGTGAAATAAAGAAGTTGTAAAGTTAATTATGCGTGAAATAAAGAAGTTGTAAAGTTAATTATGCGTGAAATAAATTTTGCATATAAATACAAATTCATGATTTAATTTATTAGTTCAAGCTTTACAAATGATCCTTATACCCTCTGGATGTAGGATGGATGCCTCAGCTTTATAATAATGAGGTAATAATGCTGGGTGGTTGCCTTATTGTGATTAATTGGGTATGATGCAATGTTACGTGGACTGCACACTGACAAATGTACTGTGATGGAACTGCAACTGGAGGAGGAGAGCTTGTGCTAAACTTCTAGAACATGTAAATGAATAAAGTTAAATAAATAACAAAAATGGCAATTAAATACATTTCAACATGGGTTTTAAATGTCTTTCTAACCTTATCTAATTTTTAAGTTTTTTGATTGTGCTTCTTTATTAATGAGCTCATCCCCAGTTAGTAATTAATTATGTCAACAGTTTTGATAATTGTTTTGACAATAATTAATGTATTAGTAAATTTACTGACATTACATATACCAGTGAGGTAACATTTTGAACTTGTGTTCTTTAGAGTATAAAAGTATCAAAAGAGATGTGAGTCAGGTTTTCAAAATATAGTAATTAATAACTTGTATTGCAATATGGATGCGTGTATATTATTGGTAATTATAAATTTAATTATTTTAGTCTTCAAGAACAAGTCATGTTGCAGCAGACCGTCTCAAAGGAATGCAAGAGAGTGTTTGGTAAGAAACTAGAGTTTAGATATTTTCATATGTTTCTAGTATGTGTTAATTTTTAACTGCGTCTGTGGTTTACTCTCGTCATTGCTGATCAGGTAACAGAATATCCTTCCACACATCAAGTTAAGGATTCTGTTCAGAAAACCACTCGGTTCTTTATTGGTGGTGTTTGCATTAAGGCTGGAAGTATTTAGTTATTCTCAATATCAATCCATGAATCTGAACTAGTTGATACATGATTCACTACAAAAATGATAAGTGAAAATTACTGGCTTAGCAAGGGTTGGTAACTTGTGCATTTTACAGCATTTAAAATTCAGTTTCATTTTTGTACTAGTGCTTAAAATACACACTTTTGCATAATGAAAAATATATAAGCACACACACACATGTAAAACATACACAGAAAAGTTACTGTGAGCCGTTTCAATAATAATTCACTTAGTTCTGTTATAAAGTATTATGTCCTGAGAATTAGTATCTATGTTATATAAAATTGCGATTTACATAATGCATTTTATATTATCTATTGCAAGTGTTAATTTTAAATGATTTTGGAAAGTTTCAGAAATTTATTTAAAGAAAATGTTTATACTATTAGGTTACATAATGAATAGAAACAAGTATTTATATTATAAAATAGAAGCTATGTATTTTTACCTCTTATGGTTTTACTTATTTTTTCTGGACATTAATATCCCATGTTTTTTATAGAAAAGTAGAACCCTAACAAAACCAAAAAATAAAAATCATTAAATATCTTAGCATTTCATAAAACTTGCTATACAATCTATCTTGTGGATATCGTCTACTATATTGATAATTTGTCTTTAAGACCTTTACTTTTTTTTTCCAGGGTGGAATTCATTAGACTTGCCCAGGAGGTGAAGCCAGTCAATTTAGGACAGGGTTTTCCTGACTTTGCAGCTCCTGAGTTTGTTACAAAAGCTTTGAGTGATGCTGTAACAGGACCAAATGTTCTTCTCAATCAGTACACTCGAGGTTTTGTAAGTTTGTATTCATATGTGCATGAGTAGAAATTAATTGTTCTAGAAAATGTCTATCAGATCTTTGAGACAGTTGGACATTGTGCCATATTTCAAAATACAGATTTATAATTTTATGAAACTTTATTTAAAATGTTTTATAAAAATACAGTATTTTAACTTTTCGTGTTATTTTCATTACGGATTTGTTTACGTATCAAATAGAATACTGTTATGTGCAGACTTTTTATCTTTTGAAAAAAGATAGATTTACATCCAAGTACAAGAAAAGGCCATATCTTTTAAAGTTTTTGTTTTGGAGAGTGGTTTATATTCTGAATCAAAATTTTTCTCATTTATGTAATAAAAACATAAACAAATGTATGAAAATTAACTGTGAATCTCTACTGCTTTTAATAAATAATTGAGGATGGGAATTGACTTTCCTTGCTTTGGTTGGATATAAACAGTTGTATATATTAGTTGAAATTTAAACAAGGGAATCTTCAAAAGCTGTAGCACTTGAAATTATTTTAAGCAGGATTAGAGTAAATTAATCTACGAGTCATTTTTTTTTTTACTTTTATTAGCTATATTTTTGGGCATCAGAAATACCAAGCATGTGATGCATGTATACCTGATTCGATTTTATTACTCGTCAGGATCTCTACCAGCCTACCCTCAAACTGAAATTCTTTTAGTCAGGATTAAAGTAAATTAATATATGAAACCTTGGGCATGGTCAAATACATCATTTGAAACTTGGAGCCATTTTATGAGCTGCTATGCTGTGGCTAAAAAAAAAGTCAGACTTGAAAATTTGATGAAGTTTATGTTAAACTTATATTAAAGTTTTTCTTCATTACCCATTCAAGCCGTTTCCAGCCATTATTAGTCTCAAAGTGGGTTCCCAGCAAATGTACAACGTTTCGACAAGGTTTTGTCATCATCAGGTACTATTAATAACAATAACTTCCGATGGGAGTAACATATGTGCTTAGAGTGAAACTTAGAATCAACCTGGTCATCACTATATCTAATTAAGTATACTTTTCTTACATTATTACTTGTAAAGAATATAATGTATTGTTTCATCAGTTGGGTTTCCTCTCTGTTAATGATATTTTCGACCATAATCCCAATGATATCTCATGAGTACGTCATTATAGGTTTGGAAGGGCTGTAGATCATTTTATTTCACTGTTCAGGTTTATGTTTTTCTAAGCTTAGTATAATAGGCTTGTTTAGAGTGACGGTAGAGTTTGTTTAAAAATTTAAAAATACTATTTTTTGAATTTTTAAATGATAGTTTTTATTATTAGTTCACATAGTAGTGTCCAAATTTCTTAAAACTCAAAATTGCTTCTGATTATAATCTGTTGATAAACTAGCATTTTCAATGTTCTGGAGCTTTTCAAAAATCTGAGATAAGTAATCTTCATATGAATCAGAGCCTAATGAAGTTTTTAGATACGTACTGTAACCAGTATAGCAGTAAACAGGGCAACAGACATTGATTTAATTATATTTTTATATGTTTTCTGATAACGCCCGTTGGATCCACTTAGGTGGGGCCCATTAACACCAGAAGCAATGACAATTTACAATAAAGTGTTAGTCAAGGAGTCCAGAGTATTTCTAAGCAAGATTATTAACTCAAGGATTACGTGTGTGTGTTTTATTTTTTCTCCATTCTCGTTGAAGTTCAGTGTAAAATCCTTCAATTTGATGCGATCAACTCCCAGCAGGAACGGTCAGAAACCGAAATACACGAAAGTCTGGACTTTATAAACGTTAAATCGTTTACCATACCAAAGGTGCTTCAACTAGGGAATTCCTATCTATGAAATACTTATTAGTTCGTTAAAATTTTCCAAACATTTCCAGTAAGTTATGTTACAAACAACTAGTTTGTAATCGCGGAGTACCACTAACATGTTCATAATTGAACAACACTCTCTCTATATTAAAACACATGTATACTGAAACAATTATTACATTTAGTGTAAGTGCTGAAAATGAACTAAACTATTACTAAGACTCTAATAAACAATATTGGCTTCAAAGGCCTTTTATAAAGTATGTATAAAGGATATAGTTTCGTCTAATAGCTGTAATGTTTAATCTAGACAAGATTTACTAGCTTCAAGAGATACATTTGTCTTTATATAGTCTCAGCAGTACTGTTGTTGTAACCTGTTTTATTTGTATAATTCGGTTTCATTTGGAACAACTACCTTTCCACAACTGTTTGCACATGGTGAATGCGGGTTTTTAGATGTGGGCTTTAGAAATCACATCGGCTTTTATTTTAGCTTTTTTTTTGTCTTATCTAAATGTGGTTCATTTGAATAGGTTAACTATGATAGACTATGATAGGTTAACTATGATGTGTCTCTATAGCTATTTGGGTCCTACTTCAACAGATCCCTTTCTTATTAGGTAACATTTTACTCTTCCTACATTGTAGTTTATACCTTAGCTTTATTGGTAACCCTTTCATGTGCTATGCTGTTTTTACGTTCCTTTTACTTTATTCTTCCATTAAATTTTAAAATTTAACATAGCTGTTGGATAATTTATGTATATATGTGTATATGAAACAGAAGAATATATTATATAATATCAATTACACATATATATTTAAGGGAATGGAAAATATAATTCCAAAGGTGTAAATGGGTTTATTTTAGTTTGTAGTTTGATAGAGGGTTATCGAAGCATAACTGTGAATCAAAAATCGTCGGATTCCCAGTCCGGGCACGCTAACCATAAAACCACGCCCAGCCTCCAGGGTAAAAGATAGCCTTACGGTTACGTTGTATTTGTAATTTTCTTGTTCAACTACGTCGATTATTTGACATAAAGTATTTTTTTTAATAGTTAGAGTACCTGGAATTCGCTCTTTAGTTCGAGATATCACATCTGAAAATCGATTCATGATAGTAGGAAAACACGTAGGTTAAATAAATCAATTTAACTCAAAAATACGATACCCTATCTGACAAATCTATAATTGAAAGTCTTTTCAAGTGACAAAGGTTTCATAATGAAGAAAGAATAATGTATTTCTATTTCAGATTTATGCTATTCAAATCATAAAGCTTATAATCTCGTTTTATTCTCTCACCGATTTTTTTATTAACAATATGAATGACAAACTGCAAATACTTGAAACAGAGTACTCGCTATTGTGTTGAACAGCTTAATTTCTATTCTTCGTGAGTGTAATCTTTTTACTTCACCGATGCACTTTATTTAAATGTCAAAATTCGTTTACACATGAAAAACACCAGAAAGTGGATAAGAATGAAACTTAAGCTTGGAGTGATTGGCGTCTCAAAGAATTTAGGAAACAAGAATAAGGACAAATGTAATTACAATTCTGATTTTCTTTATTAAATTTCTTGAAATTCTGGTGAAATGATTGAATTATTTTATTGCCTAAACTAGTCATTTCAGTTTTTATCCTTTAAACAAATACGGTAAATTGAAAAAGATGAGTATAATATTCCAAAACATTTCAAACGAATTTTATTGAATTCCACAGTTATTAAACGTTTTACCTATTGTAACTTGCAATCCGCTGACTTCATTACTTATAACGCTCAAAATCGAGAATCTATCCCTTGCAGAGGGCATGGCACGGACTGTCCACTGTACAGCTTTACGTTTAAACAATAAATATTCAACTCTTTGTGATACAAGAAAAACATTTTACAATTTGATTTCGTGTTACTTGCAATCAGATTTATAAGTTCATCTAATACAGAAAACATTTATAAGAGAATTGGTTTTATTTAACCTCAATAATGCCTTATTGTTTTCAGCTTAAAAAAAGCCAATTGACTGTGACACTAGAAATCCGCTGCTCAGACGAAAACGGTAAGATAATTTCTTTAATTTTATATTTGAAGTTTCATTTCACCTTTTAATAATGTCACGAGAGACAAGTAGTGTAGACACAGAAACGAAATATTATACGTTCAAATTTTAAAATGGTTTAAACGTATATTAACTATATTGTGAATTACATTTATAGATTTAACTCCTCAGAGAAAAGGTGTAAAATTGTGTCCTTAAGACTTTACTGAAAATCTCCCATGCAAATGTGATAGAAAAGTTATGTTTCTACCAACCATATGTGCTGGTGTTTGAAAATTTAGCTATTGAATCCATGCTTTCAACTACAATATCCATTGAAAAGTGTAGTAATATAAAACTGGTATCTATTGGAAAACAATAAAAAATGTGCTATAACAACCTTACATCATATTTGAGCTCCTGAAAGACTTAATTTCTTTTCATCTACTTATCAAACGGGCTAATTTCAAGGTAAAAATGCAATATATTTTAAAAGGCGTAACATTTTGTTTCCTGTTACAAATAGATTCTAAGTGATGGATAATAATCCGTTTTCTATGTTGTAACCTGGATAATGTACATGCTTATCGACTATCTTGACCAATGGTAATAAGTAATGAATATGTATATATAGAAGTTTGAATCATTGTCTCCAAATTAACTTTAATTTCGAAATTATTTCTTAATTAAACATCAGGTATTGTGAAGTCCCCCTTCCACCCACCAAAAAAAAAAAGTAAAAGAAAAGAAAAATATATCATTGGCGCCTTTCATTTAGTGAGATACAAAATTTGGCTACAAAGAAAAGACGTATAAAAAGATGATAAAAACCTAAGCCTCTTAAATCTTATTCTAACTTTTATTTTAATCAACTGTATATTCACTGGGCATTTCTAAGCGTCATCTAAGACATTTTAATATCGTGACTATTAAATAATAAGTTCTAAAGTGATTTGCGACCAGAAAAATATTTTTTATTAAAAAACATAAGTCCAAGACTGTAATTAGATCTCAAATCGGTCAAGAGATACAGGAGTTATGAGCTAAAAGTTTGTACTTGGAAAAAACAAACTCGGAGCCGTTCTATGAGCTGCTATGCCTCGGCTAAAAATATATTGTTAATATTTATAGATCTTCCTCTAGCGGTTTTAACGAAA